AAGACATCACTGATTGACAGCCCCTTTTATCATCATCAGGACAAGGAAATATAGAAATAAATAAATAGGGAAAAAAATATAGAAATACACAGTTATGGTAATACATGAATAAAAAACATAAATAACAAAATAAATACAAAAATTAGTGAGGAGGGGAAATTACTAAATGCAGACATATTAATTTATCTAAAGTCTTATTTATTAATGTATTCATTTCTATGTAGATTTATTTATTTTTAGATTTATCATCATTATTCTTTGCAATTTTAATTCATATATTAATTTACTGAGTCATTTATTTTTATTTTATTTTATTTTATTTATTTTTTTTAATTTTGGCAGATCTGATCATACATATTGAATCGCCACCTTCAGATAAATGCTTGATTGCTTGATGATACATCAGTGAATTTTTACACCCCTGGTCAGTTCATAAAGAGTAAACCTGACAAGTTCAGACCACTTTTAACCAAAAAAATTAATATCTCACATATTTGTATATATGAAAAACCCTCTTTTTGTTGGTGGTGTTTGCTGTTGCCATCTTTAAAACGTCTATAGTGTGATACTTATGGTTATTGCTGTCCTTAAGCCTACATGACAAATACATGGTTAAAAAACATCACAGAAACATATCAAAAACCATCCAAACTCAGAATGAAGTGTAAGCATGTATGTTTGTTTCTCAGAGCGTCCTGCTCTCGTTCATAAAGACTGTGTGTGTTTGATCAGTGTGGCGGCGCGGCAGCGGCGGGTGGGGACGCCCCACAGTGAGCGTTTGGAGACGAGATGAGGAGGAAAAGCGGCGGTAAAGCGGCAGCGTGGGGGCGAGACAAACCGAGCCTCATGGGAAAAGCCTCAGCGCCCCTAAAACCCACAGAGACTGATCCAACACTGCCTCACAGCTACTCACTGCTCACGCACCACACATCCCATCTGTGCGTGTGTCTATGCTTGTGCCTGAGTGACACATTCCTCTGTTACTAAAACACAAAATTCCATACAGCTGATGGCCACAGAGTAACGAGCCCAGAGAAAACATGAAGAATTCAACATAATTACTCAGCGATTATTCAGTGTAATTGTGTGTGGGTGAATTCAATACATTTCTCAGTTTAAAGGGAAGCAGCCGAGTTGTCGGGTCAACAGTAATGATGTTTTTCCAGTGATAATCAGTTTAATGAATAGATTCTGTTGACTTATTCATTCAGACTGTCTTTCCGTGCGATCAAAACACTTCATTTAATTATGCCTATTCAGTCAAGTTCACTGTAAAGTTAAGATAACTCAATTTTGGGGGAATAGGAGTTCACCAAAAACCCAAAACAGTGTAGAGTGAGCGTATCGCTGCTGTTGGAAGAAAACCTCGTATCTCCATTTTTGTCGTTTTTCAGTTTTTGACATAATTTAAAAATACCTGTTGTTCTTTACATTGTGTGTAAATTTTATGATGAACAGACCAAAAGAAATGGCTCAAAATAACTTGGAAAAAAGTCTGGTTCCATTGACTTACATTAAAAGTAAAGTCTGTTTTTTCCTTCTCCTGTAAAGTTACCATTTTGGAGATACGAGGTTTTGTTCCGACAACAGCGATATATGAACGTTGTTGCCTTATCATAACATGCAACTGCAATTAAACCTTAAAATCTCAGGCTTATTCATTTATTCAGTTATTTAATTATGGGGAGGGTGTCTTCATTTACAGTGGTCTCTGGAATTACAGCGCAAATTCAGTATAATGCAAAATTTACAGTAAAACTGAAATAAAAGAATATTTGAATTAACATTAAGTATAAATGTGAAACAATAAAAAACATTTAAAACGCCTTAAGTAGATAAAATGTTAAATTTCAAGGCTTGTAATTCAGTAATTACATGGACTACAATGCAAACTATGTCATTCTTCAGTAGGTCCTGGACATTTAAGGGGTCAGTGTTAACATATTTTCAGCTTATAAGTCAATTTTTGGAGTGTGGCAACTTTGGAGGATCGCTAAAAGCAGTTTTAAAGGCACATTCTGTGCATATTCAACAGAATTGTCAGAAGTGCATTTCACTGGCTAGAAAAGCTGATATGACACCCTGGTTCAAATTCATAAACAGAGCTCTATGAAAGTACAGATGGTTTCAATACACTTTTTGCCATTTGAACTTAAAGAAACTGCTTTAAAAGCATCTTTTCTTACATAAAATTTATAGAGATCGCTGTTGTCAGAAGAAAACCACGCATCTCCAAAATGATAACTTTACAGTAAAAGGAAAAAACCTACTTTACTTTTAATGTAAGTCAATGGAACCAGACTTTTTTACAAGTCATTTTGGGTCGTTTCTTTTAGTCCATTCTCCATGAAATTTACAAACAATGTAAAGGGCAACAGGCATTTTCAAATTATGACAAAAACTGAAAAACGACAAAAATGAAGATGAGGTTTTCTTTGAACAACAGCGATGTATGAATCAGATTAAAGATTGCCGCATGTGATTTCCATTCATTCCACTGTCCCTTTGTCCACGGCCTTACTTATAAAATCACAAATTTGCAGTGTAAGTGCCCTACAGTCTAGAACAAGGCAGAGCTTTGGAGGTAACGCGTGTCTGTCACTGTGATACGAATCTAAAAGGAGCGCAGGAGTCGAGACACATGATGGATGTAACAGGCAGCGCACGTCCACTCATTAGCCCTTCAATATCAGCATGTTGGGTCTCTGATTAGACAATTAGATTAGATTAGATTAGTGAGGGGAATGCCCGACGCCCTCTCACCGCCACCTGCAGAAACATGACCATAAAATGCTGCCTGTTGTACTCTATCAACCCTACTTGTTGATGTCTTGTATTATATTGGTTTGTGTTCTCAACAGACCTACAAATACAGCTGCTGTCGGAAGAAAACCTCTTATAACCATTTTTGACGTTTTTCAGTTTTTGACATAATTTGAAAATGCCTGTTGCCTTTTATGTTGTGTGTAAATTTCACGAAGAATGGTCCAAAGGAAACGGCCCAAAATGACTTGGACAAACGTCTGGTTCCATTGACTTACATTAAAAGTAAGGTAGGTTTTTTCCTTCTCCTGTAAAGTTACCATTTTGATGATACAAGGTTTTCTTCCGACAACAGTGATATACTGTAATTTGTCATGTCATGCAATGTTCATGACATTTTACTGTATCTATGTTTATGCAGACCTGAGGAAGAGTGGCTGTTGCCTTTGATAAAGCTAATAGGGACTCAAATAGATGAATAAACCAAGCTGGTAAGCCATGAATTTCTACAGAAATCTCCTCCTCTATTCATCAAAAGATGCAAGTTAAAGTTGAAGGAATAGATTAATGAATTGTCAATGAATATCTGTATTGTATATCGCTACTGTCAGAACAAAACCTTGCATCTCCATTTTTGTCGTTTTTCAGTTTTTGGCATAATTTGAAAATGCCTGTTACTCTTTACATTGTGTGTAAATTTCATGATGAATGGACCAAAAAAAAATGGTGCAAAATGACTTGGAAAAACGTTTAGTTCCATTGACTTACATTGAAAGTACAGTAGGTTTTTTCCTTCTCCTGTAAAGTTACCGTTTTGGAGATACAAGGTTTTCTTCCGACAACAGCAATAGGCAATCATTTCCATACACTGAATAGAAAACCTGTTGACCCAAAACACACAATAGAATGCTTTGAACAAGCGGCAGATGCTCAAGTTGACTGGATATTCTGTTCTGCACAAGGAAACCTGTCAAAATTACTGTCCATAGTGAAGGACCCTATGTAACAGACGCGGCAGACAGAGATTAGGCTGAAAAATGCTGGACTATTCCATTATGTTTAGTATATGAATGAATGACCAGTAATTACAATGCATACTATTGTTTGACAATGCATGCCGTTTTATTCTTATTTAGGCTGGAAAAACTGCAAAATGTCCCTTTTTCTCCTGCACATCCAGACGTGAGCATCCACACACAGCCCTTTCTCATACAGTCTCTCGCTTCCTGACCCCTCGGCTATGTTACACTCTCCACTCGAGCGGCTCTCCAAGAGATTTCACGGCAGGGCGGCTTTGGTCCACAACATAACAATTCACAACTGAGCGAGGGAGTGTGAGAGAGAGAGCGAGAGATAGAGTCCACAGAGGAGTCGCCACCGCTCTACTGCGATACTACGAGGCAGGATAATAAGCACCACCCCACAGGAGCGATATATCCAGGCTAAACCCGGGATATTAAAGTGTTATCACTTACGCACAGTCCTCTAACATCCCGACCACAACTCCCATCACACGCATCTGTTGCTGTCAGAGCTCAGAAAGCTTTAACTTCTGTCACCATCACTGTTGGACTAACACCATGTGAAAGCTCCGAGTACTGAAAGGATGAACGGACAAATAAAACTAAACCAGACCTTCCTACAGTGCTTTGCATGCAGCACTAGACTGATGAATGAAATAAGAACAAAACAGACCAGTTATAACTGAAATTAGAGTGGAAAACAAATATTTCTGAGCAGAAAAAGTGAGAATAAACTGTGCTGACATTAAAAAAGCACTGAAATGCAACAGCTCTCTTTATACAGGCACTAGCAAAATAACGCTGTTGTTGGAAGAAAACCTCGTATCTCCATTTTTGACGTTTTTCAGGTTTTGACATCATTTGAAAATACCTGTTACCCCTTACATTGTATGTAAATTTAATGATGAATGGACTAAAAGTAACGACCCAAAATGACTTGGAAAAAACTCTGGTTCCATTGACTTACATTAAAAGTAAACTAGGTTTTTTCCTTCTCCTGTAAAGTTACCATTTTGGAGATACGAGGTTTTCTTCCGAGAACAGTGATAAGAAACTCCAGCATTTGGATTAAAGAACAAGTTTACAACTCTGTTCCTCTCCGCGCCCCATTTCTTTCCCTCCGTCTGAGCGAGGCATCGCCTTCCTCTCCAGTTGCCTACTCTTCTCTCTGCTTCACTCTCTCTCGCTCTCTCTCTCTTTCTAGGCTGTAAGTACCTCATGCTATTGATGTGCAGGTTGGGCTCAGCGCTGCTTGTCATCCTGTAGAAGGCGGACATATCCAGATCCAGCGTGTGTGCGCGGATGTTACGGCTGCATCCCCGTCTAATCCCTGATAACACGATACCGCAGCTGTGCCTCGCTCTCTCGCTCTCGCTCCGCTCTCTCCGTCTGTCTCTGCAGGTCGCTGTGCTCTCACTATATCCCTCCCTCTCACCCTCCCTCTCACCCTCCCTCTCTCTCTCTCTGCACAGTCCTGCTCTCTCTCTCTCTCTCTCCTGTGGGCTCGCTCGCTTCTCCCTCCTCTTTTCAGACCCATCCTTTTCCTCTTTCCCACAGCTGCTCTCTCTCTCGCTCGCTCTCTCTCGCTCTTCCTGCGCTTTATAATTCCCTCTCTTCTCTTCCCAGCCATCCAATCTCACCAAACTGATGTGCTGTAACCTTGAGGTCCGCTGTTTTCAATTTGTCTCCCCCACCTCCACCCTCTTTACCCCCAGATGTGTCCATCACCCGTAACGGGACGGGACGTGGGGGAGGTATAACACCGTCCCATTTGCATCCCCTTTCCTTCTATAGTTTTTTTTACAAATCAGTTCTTTTTAAACAATGACAAACAATAAAAATGAGCTCACGTGAATAATAATAGACCATGCAGAACTTTTCCAATTGGAAAAAGACCGGAAACACTGAAGACACTATGTGGCATATAAATAGGGGTCCATCAGGCAGTGTCTCACTGTAAAAGACATTACTAGAATATAAAATCTGCATTATCATCATGCAAACTGGAAGTAATCATCGCCTATGTATCAAGAATGCAAAATTTAATTAGATTTTATCAAAAGTAATCGAGTTTAACTGAGTAGACATGTGACAGCCCTACTCCTTACATTCGCATATTCATTTCCATTTACGTGAATTAAAGCCCCAACCAGCTCCCAGTACAAGAGCCCCCTCTCCATTCACATTCGCATGAATTACTGCAACAAAACAACGCTGGTTAGCACGTTTACATGAATTACGTCTCCGCGAATGAGCCGTGTTTCATCCGAGCTGAAGCCCGGCTCATATTTGCCTGAATTACAACGTGCGCTGTGCGTTCGGATTCAAGGCAGTGGATTTGATGTGTGTTCGGTCGAGCTCACGCTGGCACAATTTGTCTCTCGTCTCTCCAAAAGAGAAAGAGAGAGAGAGATAGAGAGCACGTAATGAATGGGTTCCCATCCAGAGCCGCAGCAAATGAAATCCCCCCCTGCTTTATTTTGCATAATACTGAAAAATGAACGTGTCTTTCGAGACAAAACGAGGCGATCTCTCTTAAGAGATGCAGTTTGGGTTGTTTAGTCGGAGGAAGTTGGCAAATAGAGTGCTGGGAAACAAAGGAAGCAATGAAGCTGTACGTTTGGTACATTTCGAATATGATTAAAGAGGAGCAGTCCTGCCACTCATGCTGGTTGGATGTGTCCATGCTCCGCCCACGTCTACGTTTTTTCAGAGTAGCAGTAGCTGGACAAGCTTAACAGAGCGCTGTCAAAAATGTAGCATACAACCCTGTTAAGATGCCTACATTTAGAGTTATTCACTTCAAATGATATTCATTTTGCAGGCATTTGAAAAGTCACACCGGACAGATCGGCTGTAGCATTTTAAACTGGAGCCTCGACGTTATACAGGGTGATTCAGAAAGATTCACCCGATTTCAAAGCGCCATAGTTTTACAACCGTGAGGCGCATAGGAACCAATCACAATCCAATTGAAAGAGGGGTCATAGAGTTTCTGACTGTCAGTGGAAGATGGCTCCCTTCAGTCTGAGAGGAGATGAGACCCCTGAACAGAAAGTGTTCTGCGTTCTCCACTTCAATAAGAGTGAATCCGTCATAACTGTGCAGTGTGATTTTCGTGGGCAGTGAAGCTCCAACAGCTCAGAGCGTTCGGCGTTGGTTCCTCAACACTGGATGATCTCCGAAATCGCACTGAAAGAGCCGTGAGTGCAGCAACACCCGACATGCTCAATCCAGTATGGGATGAGTTTGACTATGGTGTTGATGTTGTCTGTACAGCTGGAGGAGGTTCATACTGAGACCTTGTACAATTACATAATAAACTTTATGCTCATTTAAACCATTTACAGTTCACTGCATTGATCTGTAACGATTTACAAGTTAAATAAATCATTTTGAAATTGGATTAATCTTTTTGAATCACCCTGTATAACAAAACAAAAACAGCGTAATTTCACATTAGGTTAAATGGGAGCTCTATAAAGCTCACAAATGTGGGCAAAGCTTGAACAGATCAATTACACTGCAGTCACAAAGAGAAATAATATAGAAGAGAAATAATTGTGAATGTAGAATGTGTTTAATTAAATAGGGAGATATTAATACATATCTACGGTAAGCATGCATTAATGTAATAGTAAATGTATTAAGTAAGTATATTTAGTAGTAGGGATGCACCTATTATGGCTGATTTTAACTTCTTCACAGAAAAAAAATGGTCAGTGCTGATTGTTTTGGTCAATTAGCCATTTTTAAACCCAAAGCACAATCTGTGCTAAATGAACACATTTCCAACAGTCTCTCTATTAGCCAAGGTAATATATATATTGGCTAATATTAGCTAATATATATATATATATATATGTTGTTTTTTAGTTTTTGACATCATTTGAAACTGCCCATTGCGCTTTACATTGGCTGTAAATTCAATGATGAATGGACCAAAAGAAACGGCCCAAAACTACTTAGAAAAAAGTCTGGTTCTATTGTCTTACATTAAAAGTAGAGTAGGTTTTTTACCATTTGGATATATATATATATATATATACATATATACTCTCTTACACACAACATTATTTGGTCTTTAATGGGCCAAAATGGCATTTTAAATTCATAAAGGCAAAATCACTTTCCTATTCAATACCTTGAATTAAATAAAGTGTTACATTGAAAGTAAGAGGCAACTGCCATACATTCAGATACATGAATAATAAATTGCAACACAGATCAGCGGCAATAAAAATATAATGTATTGAATAAACAGGGGAGCCGAATGGAATCGTCCAAGATCGGAATCAGCACTGATCAGAATTAACCGATATGCTGAAATTCCAATTGTGCATCCCAACTAATATTAGCATAAACCTTTAAGTAACAGGAATTCAGTAAGTACTTTTATTGAGACAAAAAAAATCAAAACAACTCAACACCCATCTCTCTCTCTCTCCCTCTCCCTCCCTCTGAATTATAGCTCTATGCATGGGGAGACGTTTGTCTGAAAAAACAAACTGTCTCAACAGGATCCAGATGTAAAAGAACAATAGTCGTCTTATGTGTGGAGAGCAGACTTATAGCTGTTGTCTGGACAGAGGTTTTCCAATAAACACTGATCAAACAGATGAGCAGACACAGACAAAACAACTCCCTTTCTCAACACACACAAACACGACGAGAAAAAAAAGCCCAGACAGACAGACACATAATGGCTGTATCAGTCGGCTGCCCAAACCCAGAGTTCTGCAGTCGTCCCACAAAATATTGCGACTGCCCTGCGAATTCCCCACAGAGGATTACAACAGAAAGAAAAATTCCCTCTTGAAACAATTAGCGCCACAGAAAGCTGAAAGGGCCATGTCTTTGTTAGCGCCGGCGCACGCGGCGGAAGAGAAAAGAAAAGGGGGAGGAAAAGAGGAGGGAAGGAACTCGGTCAAATTGAGCGGCCTATCTTTTTAATTAACTCTGTCCATTTGCTCCCCTTATCGCACTACATTAGGAACTGCCACCCAGACGGTTACAAACCGCACGAGTGTGTGTGTGTGTGTGAGTGAGTGAGTGTGTGAGTGAGTGAGTGTGTGAGCGAGTGAACAGAGCTCGTGAGGTACAGATAAGCCGATAAGACCAGTAAGTGAGGAAGGAAAGGGCGAGAGAGACTGTGAGAGAGTGGGAGAGAGAGACAGAAAGAGAGAGAAAGACAAAGAGACAGGTTTCCAGGTCATACAGAAAATGTAAAGCAAATATATCATCACTGTTGGAACAAATACTTGTATCCCTATTTTTGAGTATTTTTTCACAGCTGATCTTTATGTTTTAGCTGAAATTTTCACAACTGAATGAACCGATACAAATTCTCCAAATAGGACAAGAAGAAAAGAGACATAAAGTGAAAGAGCTGGGTTCAAAATGCGAGACTTTCTTGTTTGGTTAGTCAGATGTCAAACCTGCATTACATTGATTTACATTAAAATCTAAGAAAGTTTTTTCCATCTTCTGAAAAGTTCGCATTTTGGAGATTTTGTTCCGACAGCAATGACGTACTGTATTCACAACATTCACATTTGGCCTAGATGCTCTGTTATCATGATCCAACACATAATGACTGTATCCTTCTATAAGCTCAGTTGACTTACACAGATCTATAGCTCTGTTATCACCTAATTCCTTTAAAGAATACTCCAGAATTTTCAACCTAATATCGATCTGCAGCATCCGTAGCACATAATTCAGGGGTCGGCAACACGCGGCTCTTTTACTGCCCTGTTGCAGCTCCACAGCAGAATCAGATTTTTAGGTGATAATAAAATAATCCTCCTTTGCAGTAAAATAAAATCTGCTGATCGTTCAACACAGTTTAACAATAAATGGTCTTAAACTCTGGAGTTAATGTAGAACTGCTAATTCACGCTTTAACCCTGAAGATCAGTGCAGACTGCTGGTTACAACAAATCTCGAAATATCAAACTTAAGATGAAAGCCGATAATTTGGAGACGAACAGACTTATTTGCGTTTATAATCACTCAGCTGGTTTCCTGATACGTTTAATCTGCAGTGAGAAACTGTTAAACACTAAAGTCACAAAGCTGAAGTCAGTTTCTTGTTCGAATTTTCCCATTCCACCTTAAATAGAGCAACAGTTAGTTACATTCTGGGAAAACTTGGGCACCATTTAAGGTAGAACGGGAAAATTCAAACAAGAATCAAGCGAAGGACAAGCTGACTTCTGCTTCGTAAAAAGTCGAACATTAAGAGACATTTTACAAGAAACTGTTCTACCTATCTAAAGTTTCCTGCCGGAGATGCGAGAAAAGCAGCCTTAGCTGAGCTAAAGCTTAAAGCAGAGCAAAGTAAGTCTGTGTTTCTGTTTAGATTTTTCAGCCTGTACTAGCACATTAGCATATACTGAGACATGTTTACAGCCAA